CCTCCCACCCTTCGAACTCAGGCCAATGCAATTATTCGTGAAGCTTGAAATTGACTGGCAATAGTCTTCTCCTCCACATCTGCAGCCCGAAAATACACGTATGAAAAATATGGAGCTTTGTTTGTTCGCCTATTCCACGTCGTTACTCGAGTTTTTCCTTGAAAATTCCGCTTACTCCTTTTTCTCTGCGCCACGCTAAGCAGTCGACGAAAATAGGGAGAGGCCGAGAGATTGTTTTTTTTTTCCGGCGGGAGGCGGTGAACTTGGAGTTGTTTGAGTCTTTGTGGGATATTTCGCATCGTCGGGACATGTGTTTTAATTTTGGAGGGAGCTGCGCGCGTTCACGACAGTCGCTGTGCTGTCTCACTCTAAACTCTCCTCTCGCGCGGGCTCCGGCTCCGCCTCGTTCGTCTGGCGATGCGCGCGAAAGCTCGCAAGGCAACGAGAGAAGCGCAATTTCGGCCGGAGCTCCCGCGTGCCAGCGGCGAGACGAGCAGCCAGGAGGAGCGCGCAGCAGCGAATTGTCCGTCTCGTCATCGAACAAAACACGTGCGCTCGTCGAGCTCCCGTCGGGGATGTCACGTGAGCGAACCAGCGCGGCCCTCTTTGTTTTCTCTCTCTCTCTCTTTCGCGGCTCAGGGCTCGTCGATGCAGCGTCGCCGGAGCATCGCGACGGCAGTCGCGACGAGTCGTTCGTCAGCGAGTGACCTCTCTCGCTCTCTTCTCTCGGTGTTGTTGCGTGTGGCCGTGTGTGTGCGCGCGCGCGCGCCCGTGAGAGCAAGGCGGCAATGAGGAGCGGTGCGGCGACAAGATGCTGAAGCATGCGCGAAGAACGGCCGCGGCTGTCGGCCCTAGCAGCAGGGGACGAACTCGCGCTGCTGTCGCGCAGCCGCCGCTGCCAGATGTGCCGTGGAGGAAAAAACGCGGCAGGTCCGTCTCGAGAAGTTGGCCCTGCACACCGAGCACTTTGTCGGTCGTGTCGACCACGTCTTCCGAGGTACACTTTATTGTCTAACGCGAACGACGCGATCGAAGTCTGGGCATCTTACGTAATGTGATTTTCGGTCGCTTGTCGCCGGCGAAATCGTCGAAAGGCGCCTCGAATGTCGAACATTTGTAGAATCGAAAGCGAGGAGAAGCTATGCAAAGCAACCGGTTTCGCACTGTCAGCTCTCGCGGAAAAACTATTCAAAAGTGGCGCATCATCGTCGTCGGAAAACCCGCTCGAGGCGCGTGTAAATATCAAAATTTTTTTCTTTTAATAACTTCATAGTCGTTCTCATCCCGGCATGTTTAACTTCAGATCGAAGACAGTTTTATGGAACAACATAGCTTTGCGGGTTTGTCGACGAAGTCGACCACACCAATATTCGTCAGAGTTCAACAGATAAGATTAGATTGCATGTGCGTTTTTCTCGCGTTAGTTCGTCGAGAATGCGCTTTTATCGCTCGTCTAACTTTATCGTGGCGTCAGCTGTGCGCGAGTTGCGTCCGACGTTTTCTCGTCACCGAAAATTCCGTTCACGATGAAATAGTCCGATAACAGTTTTCCGTGAAAAAATGATCGCAGTCGGCGATTTACAAAACAAGTCCAACGCTGAAATCAAAGCGGAGCGTTGCAAAAGACCATTGAGTTTTTGCATCGCTGGCCTCATTAACAAAAAACCTTGCGAGCGCGTGAGGAGGGGGGAGGGGGGTAATAACACTTTAACGAGGCATCGATTTTCACACACACGTACGCACTCAGCAGGGTTCACGAGAGAGACACTTTCTTAATTTTGTAATGGTTCTAAGAACCTTTATGAGTAATTATACTGAATAGACGTACATTAGTTAATAGCTCGGGCATTCATTGCTGTTCATTCGTTGCGTCTTTGAACAAAACCAAATAATTTCTAGTAGTTTTGTTGTCGGTACGATGATGACACATTTTTCGATCACTTGGACGCAAGAGAGAGAGAGAGAGAGAGACAGCGAAAAATGCAGTTGTTTCGAAACTCGCGTAAAAAGGAAAACATCTTCCATTTGCACAAACTTAATTCGGCGACAATGATACTTCAGCATAATCGACGTCCGCTAAAGCTCAACGACAATTTCTCGTGTCTGATCAAATTGAAACGCTCACATCCAAATTAAATCAATCCTATATAAAAAAAATAAACAAAAATCAGGTAAACGTATCAAGTAATTAATATATATTACGGCACTGAATCTCACTTAAGCTGATATTATTGTCCATGTGTGGAGCATGTGTATGTTGGAGAAGGACATTATGCTGATCTTCCTCTTGGCCGTTAGATGTTATCGTTAGCCTTTTCAGTGATTGGAGGGATGGTCGAAGATTTCTATCTTGAGTGAAATGTTTATATTGAGAAAGGAACGGGGAAAAATGTCCAAGGATTATGAATTTTGATTACATGTAAAATCGATGTTATATAAATTTTTCTTTTAATCGATATAGAACAATAAAAAAAAATTAAAGAATCGAAGTCTAGATGTTAGTAAAAAATTTTTTCTAAACCGTTAAAGGTGCGCGCAATATTTGAAGAGAATTAAACGAAATTAGCGTATGAATTTGTATAAACCCAATCGACCAGTGATTATATCTTTATAAGACAAAAGGATATTAGAAAAATACGCGAGAATCTTTCTTGATTGGTAAGATTCAGGGGGATGTAAAAAGAGTGTACTGACCAGGGTCCAATGTTCATTTTTTTGGCTCTCTTGGGAGAACATTATCTCTGGAGAATATTGAAACGGTGAATACTTTTACACTCGGTTTTTGTATAATTCGCAAAAAAATAAGAAATCGACGTACAGTTGTCCTTTTTCTTTTTTCGTATGGCGTCTTGAAGTTCAAGGTAATCCGTCCGTTGTATTCAAACCTTATATTCGCACATATTCTTATTCAAAGTATGAAATATCGATTATTATTCCTTTTGAATATTGGCATATAAAAAAAAAGCATAAAGTATCAGCCAAATTCTGCGCAATTTTGAAATTAAAAAAGAATCATCAATTTTTCTCTACCTGTCAGAAAAATAATGAAAGTGCGAAAGTAAGCAATGCATTGTTACAATTCACGAAAAGCATCCCATGAATCATTACAGAAAGTTCGTAGCAAGGAAAAAAAAAAACATAGTGCGCACGCGAAAAAAATTCATGCGGCAAGGACGACAATAACAATCTTTCGCATCACATTTCAGACGTTGCACAATCGGATTGGTTGCCATCGTTCGTCGTCGTCGTCGTCGTCGTCTCGCCGGCGCTTATTTATACGTTGCGTCATTCCACATGTGTTTACATGTATGTACGCGCACTCGAAATTTTGCACTCCATTTCGCTTCGTCAACTAATTTCAACGAACAAAAAAAAACAATACTTTCCTTCGAACTTCGTCAATTTACGTTTTCGACTAGAAGTTACTTTGCAGACGTCTATTTGATGAAGATACTCGTTAGAATTTTCATCACTTCCGTAATGTTCGTGTTTAGTCTCCACGAAAATAATATTGGGTGTTACAACACTCTTGACTGCTATATGCGTCCTTACTAACGTAATTTAATATCGTCACGTTTTGTCGCACCTCGTGCGCTTTGTATGTAAAATCGCTATCAAAAAATTTCTGCTGAAAAGAAGTATGACTGCAGTTTGAAAAAAAAACTATCTCTCGCTATACGTTAAACTTTTTGTTTTTTTTCTCTCATTTTGCAATCCATTTCGTGTCGCTCGCGTTTCCTTTTCGATTTGAAAAAAAAATTACGCTTTAAAAACGATGATTTTTTTTATTCGTATTTACAAAATCTAATGTCGTAAAGTCAGTGATTATTCATAAAATTCGAACAGAAACGCCATCCGATTTCCAATAAAAAAAGTCATCCATACAGAGCATTCACATTGATAGCTAATCAAGTACACAGTGAAACTTCGATCAAATCGATCGATGTAGGCCAACGATTCTCTCTCTCTCTCTCTCCTCTCCTCTCTCTCTCTTCTCCTCTCTCTCTCTCTCTACTCTCTCTCTCATCCGTCTCTCTCTCTCTCCTCTCTCTCTCTCTCTCTCTCTCTCTCTCTCTCTCTCTCTCTCTCCCTCACTCCCTCTCTTCCATGAAGCGCTGGTACACAATGTCCATGAACAGGAAAAAAAGAGCATTAAATAAAAGGCATACACGCTCTGCCGTTCTCATTCTCTCCGAATTTCCAGCTCTGTGCGTGTGCCTCTGAATCAGTGTATCAGCCGGAAGTCCGGCCCACGAGTTCCGGAGCTCGTCACACTCGTCTTTTCCTCTCCACGCGTTATCTCCACTACAGCTGAAGCCGCACTTTTTCTACGTAAATTAATGGGAGAGTCGGCTTCGAGTACCAGCGGGATAAGACAATTTGTCTTCTCGGGAAAGCGCAAATAAAGACAAAATCATGATTCTCTATTGTTCCTTTGTGCGACAGCTGCAAGTGTTTGATAAAACTGTTATCATTCTTACCATTGTTATCAAAAATTACGAGACGATAACAGTTTCCTCTCTCTCTGTCTATCTGTCTGTCTCTCTCTCTCTCTCATTCTCTCTCTCTCTCTCCTCTGCTCTTGCGAACGACTGCTAGCATTTTTTATTTTTTTCTAAATAAATCCTACATATTAGACGCGTGCACTTTGTGAATCAGGCCCTCGAAATGTTTTGTCACGCGTTACATCGAAATTGGCTCGTGCGACCGGATGGCGCATGATTGACTTTTTATTTCGACGTAGGGAGGACCCCTGTGTGAGAGAGACTTATGATTGTTTTATGAGTATGATTGTTTGGTCACTCGCGTGCCGATGGAATTATACAGAGGCGTCGCTGTGCATGGGAAATTGAAAAATCACTCGAGTCGAGAGCGTTGATTTTCCCGCGGCGAGGGTGTAACACATTTCAATGAAATAATAAGTAGGTCGATGACGTTAAACAGCAAAGGTAAACCGTTACGAATAGTCTTTTCGAAAAGCCGTTCTTTTGTTCTTTCAGATCGACTATCCCGAGGTGCACAGCGGCAGGATGCATCGACCCCCGCAGCCTAATCCCGATCAGCGACCATCGACAGGTCAACCTGGTGTTTGAAGACTCGGTAAGTTTACATTAGCATAGCTTTCTCTTTTCGAACTTTGTGCATTTTCAAGAGGGTCTACCTGTCGTCAATTATTGTATACAAAAACCTTTTAATTTTCAACTTATTGCTCTTCTCACCGAGTCAAAATACAAGCCACAAGCTTATTAGAGCGAGGAATCGTGGCGCTAGAGAAAAAGCGTTCAAATGGTCGATCGAAGGAGTTGAAAAGCGAGAAGCGAGGAAATTGTATTTTTTTTTTATTCCGCAAAATCACGCAGTTCGTTAACTTTTCTTTTCGTGGACTTGTTCTTTTTTGAAAGTTCATTCAAAAAGGCAGAACGAATTGTCACCGTCCGTTTTCACAATGATTCAATCAATATTGCACGGTTGTTGTTTTTGTCGCGTGCTTACTTGTCCTGTGGTAAGAATTCGATATCCATCTTATAACACTTGGGGTGTCTGTATCGAATGACCGTCCGATACAAAATCTTGCGGAGGCTACAGGTGCTACGGTCGCGTGCCATCGCGAGTACACATGCTGGCAAATTTAGGTCAGGATTGCACTTTAAAGGGTTGCGCCATTTTCGGGGGAGACAGGCTCGGACAAAAAAGAAAAGACGAAAGGAGAAGAAAACGCTACCTGAACGAAAGGTGCTTCTTTACGAGGGAATTTAACGACTGTTTACCACAGACCTGCCAGTTATACCTATTCCAGTCTTCGTCTCTCGCTCTCTCTCTCTCTCTCTCCTCTCTCTCTCTCTCTCTCTTGCTCTCTCTCTGTTGGCAACATTGCACTTCCTTGTACGCCCTCTTCTTGTCTTCATTCCTCTCAATTTCCCCCTCCGCTTTAGTTTACGACGCAACTCCACGCGGCGTAAATGTCAAACGAAGAAAGCTTGCGCATGATTTGTCCGCGCTATTATTTCTGCCAGAGCTAAGCAAGATTTGCAATCGAAGTGTACTGAAGTGCAACTCGTCGCTACTTTTTATGCTCAGCTGCATTTCTCGCGTTTACCGAGAATGAAACCATCAAATTTCTTTTAAGGATCGTAAAAAAGAGCCAAGTATTTCTGTGTGCCCGTCCCCGTGTGCGTATATTGTCGTAAACTCGCACGTAAATGAATATTGAATGTTTATGAGTATATTCTCCTTTTTTATTTGCGACTGTCGAATGAACGATTTAGATATTTACATGTGCTATGGGTTATAAACAGTTCGACTTTTAAATTAGCTATGTCATCATTGTTTCATTATTTTTACTACAGTGAAAATCGCACGCAAAATAAAAACGTTATGATCGGTATAGCAGTGAACAAAGACTTTAATTGTAAAATTACAATTAGGTGAAGTGTCGAAATTTACATCTTCGTTGGAACGAGAGCTTCGTATTAGCATTTAGTTGCGTTTGTCTCATGCGCGGTTAAAAATTCATTGCGGATTAACGTTACACAACAT